GTACTTTTAAGGAGTATGGTTTATATAATGGATTACTAAATATTCTCTTACTAAAGATGGTTGCTCATATCACTAAAGAACTTGGAATGGCACCTGGGGGAGAGTTCCGCAGAGCTTTCGAGGAGGTATGTTGTCAGACACGTGTGTATTAATATAGATAAAATTTTTAAGATCCTTAGACAAATATAAAAACAAATATTAATCTTAGGCAAAAAAAGTTCCATATTGTATGTTTTACATGGGAGATCGTCCAATAGATATAACCATTCAACGTACAGTACGATTTTTATCTTGGTGGCAAACAATAAAATTAGTATGGCATTTAATAAAGATAAAAGATCCAATTAGTAAAAAGGACGTAGAATTATGTAAACAAAAAGCTTATTTAGATGAAATGGTTGCTAAAATGAGTGGAGAGTTTCCTGTATTAGGGGAAGTTTTTATTAAAGAACGAGATATCTATTTAACACATTCTCTTCAATTGGCTTGTTTACCTGAATATACATCTAAGGGTTTGGAGCCAACAAGAGTTGTTGGCGTTGTTGGCTTGGGTCATATACCAGGCATTGTTGATAATTGGGGTAAAGTTCAACCTTCTGATATACCACCTATCATGAGGTATATAATGGTCATATAATAATTTAAAAACTTAAGTTTATTTTTTTTGATATAAAGCTCTAAATATGATTTATTTAAAATTTTTTATTTTTCAGTATACCACCATTATCATTATCAAGTAAAATATTAAAATTTACATTTAAAGCATCTTTAATAGGTGCTGTAATTTATGTAGGATATAAAATTATACCACTAGATTCTATCAAGTCATCGGTACAGGGGCTTTTAAAGGTTAGTGCAGAAAATTAAAATAATATTTCATTTCCATACTTCTATACCGTGAAAAAAGGAGGATTTTCATTCAAAGATAATTTTCTTTTTTTTTATGCTGCTTCTCTTTCTTTTTCTCTCACTTTTTTTCTTACTCTTGAAGAATCTATCATCTTTCTTTGGATTTTATATTGATATAAACATATGGTAAGCATGAACTTTGATCTTTGTGTAGATGAATATACTCATGATATACCTGGTGTCATGTATGTAACTAATAACATACCTGGTCCAGGTATAAATGTGGATGATTTTGAATCTGTATTTACATCAGGTTGTTCATGTACACTTGAATGCTCGAAGTGTACTTGCACTCGTGGTTCTGCTAATTATATAAATGATTGTATTGTCGAAGAAAAATTATCAGTACCAATTTTAGAATGTAATCCTTATTGTATGTGCAATCAGAATTGTGGTAACAGATTGGTACAACGTGGTCCATTAAATAGTCTTCAAGTAATAAATACTGCTAAAAAAGGTTTAGGTCTTATAACAACGACATTAATAAGGAAAGGGCAATTCATTTGTGAATATGCTGGTGAAATAATAAGCATAGATGAAGCACGACGCAGGGTTGAAGCTAATAAAAATGATAATAGTATGAATTATGTTCTTGTAGTCTCTGAACATATAGGAGAGCAGATAATTGTAACTTGTGTAGATCCAAAGTATTTTGGCAATATTGGAAGGTATAGTAATCATAGCTGCCAGCCAAATGCTAATCTTGTACCTGTCAGAGTTGAAAGTGTTGCACCACGATTATGCTTATTTGCATCTCAAGATATAGAAAGTGGAGAAGAAATTACTTTTAATTATGCCAGTGGAGTGATTTCTGACCGTCATTTAAGTGACACACCCTGTTATTGTGGTTTCAGTAATTGTTTAGGTTATTTACCACATAACCCTATTTAAAGTATGCAAAATAGTCTTTTAATAGAACATTATAAATATCATTAAAAATAATTGTCACAGATTCAATTGTACTTTGTAAATCAATCATAATTAAACGAACATATAAAATATGTGAATTATTTTCGTGAAACTTTTAACATTTTTATTAAAAATTTAATATTTAAGCAAATATTGTGAAAATCTTTTTTTCTATACAATTTGAAAGATTCTTTATTTAAGTGAAAACTTATTATCAATTTAAATAGAATTAGTTGCAGTTTTATAGTATATAAATTAACAACAAATATTTTTTTCTTATTAAACAGAAGTACCGTTTCAACAATGTTAATCTATAAAAACTTTATTTTTTATTTTTGTATTTTGTTTTTAATTATGTAATAATGAAACTGTTGATAATTCATACATGGTTTTTCTGTTAATATATATGTTTTGTTAATCTGTAGTAATTATTTTTATTATAATTTATTTAAATATAGTTATTATATATCAGAAATAAATTCTTTCTAAAATTTATTGTTATATGAAACTTTATATGTAACTTAAGTCAGTATATAAGATAATTTGTATAAATAATTGTTATCAAAATATATTTTAATAGCAATGAGATGAATTTTACAAAAATGCTATATTACCGAAATTTACGTCTTAAAAATATATTCTTTTACTTTTTTTAACGTGGTAAAATTAATCTCTTTATAAAATAATATAACTATTTATCAAATAAAATTGTCATTAATTAATGAATATTCCTTAATAGTTACATTATTCAGAAATGATAACAAATTAATTATTTGTAAATGTTTATCTTAATCTTATTAATATCTTATATTAATTTTTATTAATATTAATTAAAATTTAATATATAATTACAAAACAAATAATTCTGTATCATTTGCAGTGTTGTATTGTAACATTTTTTTAATATAATTTTAATTAAGTCGATCATACATATTATTGTAAAATCTTTAAAGGACTGAATACTTGGTTTTGCACATATGTTCCTAACTTATAATATTAATTTACATTTAATATTTTAATAAATATTTCCTTATTTCTTTTACATTTTTTAAATATAGTATATGCATGCACATGCATCTTATAAATCCTACTTGCTGGCAAGTTAATGTGTAAGTTGTGACAGTGTGTATAATATCTGATAATGAATTTTTAAACATAAGTAAAAGGATCATATATATTTTTTAAAAATATCTTATATTCATTAATTTTTTATGGTATCAATAAATAAAAATAAAATTAAAAATACTATTATTTTCATTTTATATTGTAATGTTAACGCAATACATATTCATTGTGAATTATGTCTTATGTATAATCAGAAAGTGTAATCCTTCTTTAGTAATTTTCATACAATCAATAAAATAAACTTCCATGATATAGCTGCATTTTTGTTTAACAACTGTTGAAATGGAAAAATGCATTACAATATTCTTTATACTTATTTCTATAATGTAATTCATTTAAAATATCTATCTAATTTCTATAAATACTATATTTTAATATATTTGGACTGTAGATGTTTGTTCTTGCACTTCATTACTATATTTCCATCTCCACCAAGCAACTTTCATGCGATCCCAAATATTTTCCCAAGAGTCCATAGCTGGTCTTACATCAAGAAGAGCAAATTTATATCTTTCATCTACTTCTCCACCGTCATAATAGTCAATAACATATCGTACATCTTTACCACATCTATCTACTATCCAATCATGACGATCAAATGGTAATTCATATCTAAAATAGAAATAAAAAGTAGATCTGTACTTGTAATATTATAATTTCTATATTTCTATGAATTCAAATAAATTGCAATCATACCCTAACCAATGCCGAATTCGTGCACGTGGTGAATACTGTGTAGCCTTTCCACCAAAACTACGTAATTTAGGACAATTGCATTCGCGTGCATGAAGTGCTTCCCATTTAAGAACTTCCTGCCATGCTTGTTCATTATTAGTATTATGAATTTTTATTATATCATCCATATCTTTTGGCAATATATCATCATTTTTCCAACGCCATCCTTTTCTTAACATAGCATTCCAAAACATTTGTTGTGATGGGTAAACCCAAAATTCGCCATCTCCTGTTGCTTTTGGTATTGATGAGACTTGTCTGTCAGTTGGTAAAGGAAAAGGTTGATCAGGTGCTGGTTGTTGATTGGCAGGTGGCATCTGTAATATTCATTTTTTTTAATAGTAATATAAGAAAATCTTAATGAATTTCTTTTTATTATGATTTATATTAAATTTTATTATATATACCATGCATTATACATATTACATATATTATTGCATTATACATACCATGTTAAGAGGATTTATTTCATTCTCAGTCATATGATCTATTGGACATTCTGACATAGATGTTTTAGATGACTGTTGACTTGTTTTCATATGCATGGGACATTCTGGTGGAGGTACATTTTGAAATTTTTCTGATTCGTGTATTACAGATTTAGATAGATGTTGATTATGCTGTATTGGCATAATTACATCAGCGGCTGACACAGATGCAGAAGTCAATGTATTGCCCATTATTTCAATTATATTAGTACCGTAATATATATATATATATGTTGCTATAATCAGTAAAAAAATAAAAGTAATATTCAGATAAAGAAATAAAATAATATCTATATCTAGAATATATAATTATAATAATACAAAATAATTGAATTAAAATTAGTACAAATAAAATTTATTCATTTTTATAGTAATCTCAATTTTTGTAAAATAATTACGCAATTCTAACCCTAAACGATATTATAGTCGTATTTAAAAAATTTATTGTAAGATCATATTTTAAATAAATATATTACATATATTATTTTATATATACACATATCTTAAAATTTATAAATTGTAACTCGTAATTTCGTATTTACCTGTAAAATTATTTTTTATATGAAAACTCTTAATTTAGCCTGTTCAGATAACTTGAAATATCTCAAGTGTTGAGCTTGTTACGACGAATGTCGATAATCAAAAGATGAATGAAAATTAATTAAATATATAGAAGTATTTATAATAACATTTGAACACTTTCAAACTTTATATTTAAACCTTAACAAACGTTCGAACACATTTATGTCAGATCTAATGAATAGATATTATATGTAGTATAAACTTTACGTAATCACACATTACCAATATTTTAGTACTTTTTTAGTTAAACTTTTAATTTACTAAACAATATCATGTTTTTAATTGGTAAAAGTAATATTATTATAGTTTTTGTACTCAAATTTCAAATAAACATTTTAATATACAATGTGAAATATTTTGATAAGTTATTATAAGGTAGAAAAATATAGTAAGTAACCCGCATGATTTAAATCTGTACTTTATAAGATTATTTTTGTTGCAGTAATTTCATATATGTTATATACTATATAAAAACTTTGTTATAGCATTTTTATATATATATATAAATTTTTCTCTAATTCCATTAATTGAAAAAGCACTAGAAATTACGTGTATATTAATGAACTTAGCAACTAAAAAAGTATCAAAATATGTATTATAGAAATAGAAAAGTACGAATAATTAAAAAATTTTGATTTAATTAAAAATATTACATTGTTTTTTCTAAAACAATTACAATTAACATGATTTAATTAAACAAAGATCGCCAATTGTTATCCAAATTAACAACATGGTAATATTATTCCACTAATTTCTTACTTACGTATATAATTTACAATTAACATACTTGCAATAAAATAATTTCTTAAGTATGATAAATGTTATACATCAATGATTTTTATAATTTTTCAGTCTAAAACAAAGCAAAACTTAATGAACAATGAACAATATTTTACGTGTTTTTGTAAAAAATATACGGATAACACAAGAAATTTGGTGTTAAAAGGAAGGGATTTAATTATCATGAAAGGGTGATTGTATTTGAAAATAAGTATTTGTTAATATTTTTTAGAGATAATGTTTGATCATTTATAAATTTTATATATTTTTAATGTTAGCAAACAACTAGAAGATTCGGATATAGAGTTTTTATTGATATTTCTTAAACAAAATCAAGACATTGTATCCCTTAACTTAGCATACAACCAAATTACATGTATTGGTTTCAAAAATTTGATTACTTACTTACTTGTAAGATAGATTAAAATCGAAGTATAATAATTCGCAATATTATAAGAATATTATTTTAGATATATAAAAATATATACAAGTTGAATGTTCAAAATAATAACATAATGGAAGCAGGAATTGATTATATGTGTGAAATAGGACAAAATTTACACATCAAGAGTCTTCAATTAAGTGGGAATAAGTTTGGCGTTGAAGTAATTATTATTGTTTTTGTTCTTTCTTTAAAAGTTTATTAAATAATTCTTAAATATAAAATAATCATAATTGTTATAGTCTTCCAAAAAAATAGCATTACTATTATTAAAAAATCCATACTTAGAATATTTGGATATAGCAGAAGTTGATCAAACTATTTCAAGTTTAATATATTTCACAACAGTTATGAGACTAGATCAACCTATATACAATGAAACTTTAAAAATTTTGGACATCAGTCGTCCAAATCCAGGATGTATGTATTTTTTTAATGCAGAACAATTTGCAACTCTAATCGGACATATGTTAAGAGTAACTTTATATTTTATAATATTAATTTATTTAAACATTTTTCACGATTTACTAGACTTAAATTTTTTTACAGAATAATACTTGTTTGTTTGGATTGCACTTACAAAAATGTGGTTTTAATTGCCATGACATTGAATGTATGACGATGAATGCACAATATAATTACACATTACATTTCCTTGATCTTGCTTGTAACAATATAGGAGATTATGGAATGCATCATCTTGCTAATTGGCTTATAAAATCTTCTGCTTTATGTGGCCTTATTTTAAGTAAAAATATTATAACTGATCATGGTGCAAGGTAGTAGAATGATGTGCAAAAGTTTATAAGACTATATGTTAATTCTATTATTTATTATTAATATTTATTATTCTATAAAATTGTATTATATATAAAATTATTTCTTTTTATAAGGATATTAAGTCATACTATACCATTTTCCAAGCTCAAGTTTTTAGATATTTCTTTTAATAAAATAACTGACGATGGTATGGTAAATATTCTAAATTCTTTAAAAAAGATTTCACTTATAAAAAGCTTGCGAATATTTGGAAACTTTCTTAGTCATATAACTGCTAAGGTGTGTAATTTAATTTCTCTCATTCTTTTATTATTATACTATATATTTATTGAATTTGTAGACTATAAAGAGAATATTATTATCAAAAGTTTTATATCAAACAAATCTTGATGTCAAGCCTTATAGAGTAGAAGATAAATGGTACTGTGCTCAATATCCAATGGACTACTCTAAAGAACATTTTTATGATATGATTGAATCTTCCACAAAGTATAATAACAAAGCTGAAACTTTTTCTAACATATACAAATTCAATGAAACAAGTAAAATGAAAAAAAGATTATAGAATTAGAGATTCACTATTAACTTTCTTTAGAAAGCACGCATTAACACATTTTTATGGGCTTTTGTTATAAAAGCTTCGCTTTTTTGCAATAAGCATGATAGTGTAGTTCATACTAATATGCTAATACTATTTTAATTATTCCTACATATTTTTTATCATTTTATTAATAAATTTGAAATTTGTTGACAATTATTCACGAAGTCAAATGCACTTTGATAGGATAATATTACATGTTTTAGATTGTAAAGCTGAATTAAAGCATTTTTATGTTTTTTTAAATTTTTCTTTTTATATCTAACCATTGTTAACATTTTATCCAGGACATAATGCAACCATAAAATATTTGTGTATGGTTCAAATTCTTGCCAATTATTTCTAGAAATAATAACATTATTGTTATTATCATCATCATTATTATTACTGTTGTACTATTACATTAGCTTTGAATTTATGTAATATATACTTACTGTACTTTATCTTTCATAAGACGATAAATCTCAAATTGATATTCGCCTTGAGCAGTAAATAATGCAGGATCTAAGGCTAAATCATTGAATATGCAACATCCTTGATATGACATTCTTGAAAGAGTGAAATCTATGACACATACCTTTAAGAAAATAAATATAACATTTTGTGTATTTAATACAAATAATAATAAAAATTATTATAAATATATGATTGATATTATAAACATAAAAACATACTTTTATACCATTACTTGAAACTGAAATATCTTTATTATCAAGTTTATAGTATATATATTGTTCATCTGTATGAGAAATCAAGATATTCCCCCAATGCAAGTCTCTATGTTCAAACTTAAGTGATCTTTCAGCGACTGCTAATGCTAATGTAGCCTATGAAAAAAGAATTGATAATTAAAATTAAGGTATTGTTAGTTATTATATATATTTCATATAAAATATTGTTATAATTTGTTTCCTCTTATTCCTTTAAAATTACTGATATTACCTGTATAAACAATGCATATGCTTCTACAGCTGTATGAAATTCAAAAGATTCAAGATCCTGACCACCATGACCAAGTTCAAGAGAAATATAAAGTTGCTTTTCATCAAAAATTGATGGGCAATCATTATCAGATGTTTTCTCTTCATCATACTTCTTCCACAAATTTACCATTTTTTCAGGATATTTTCCTTGAATGCATTTAATACTTTTTACTTCAACAAATCCACTTGTGTTATGATTTTTGTTAAATCTTAAATTATGTAACTCTCTGAAAATTATGAAATTAAGATTAAACTGTATGTGTAAACTTATAACGAAGTATCACATACTTTGCAATAACAATTTCTGAGAGTATTTCATCAAACTTCTTTTGAGATTCTCCATTAACTAATTGAACACCTTCTATAGGTATAATTTTTAGAACAGATTTTTGTGTGTCCTTTTCATAAAGAAATACCTCTCCATATACACCTTCTCCTATTTTTCGACAAAATTTCAAATACCTATTATAAAAATGAAAAATATTTTAATTTTTTAAAAATATTAATTTAAGTTATACATAATTTTTAATTTACTCACTTTGTTGAAAACAAATCTCTGAATGGTAAATAATGTTTTTGGGAACATTTTTGTAAAATAACATCTTTCGCAGTTTCTGATGAACAAATTTCTGCACAATTATTTTCTATATCATTATGCTGAGTACTATATTCAGTGTTACAACTAGTTTCAGGTAATATATGTTCATTGTTGACAGTAGTTTTAATTCCATATACTTCAAGAAATGAAGTATCACTAGCATTTTTGATAATTCTATTATCGCATACAACACGAATAGAAGTTCTTCTAACAAATCTTTTTAAATTGATAAACTGATTTGTATCACATTCATCTGTAACAATGTCATTATAAGATTTAATTTGTGTCTTATTACATGTAATGTTTCAATTATTGATATTTTTTAAATAATTATATATATGCATATATTTTTAGCTAAAGTTACCTTTTTTCTGCATATCTAATATATCCTTAACACTATGTCTCCATCTTTTACCTTTCTCAGTAGATGTTCTATTTAGATTTAATCCATTCTGAAAGTTATGTAGAATGGATAAAGAACGTGTCCAAGACTTGCCTGGCTTTAAAAATATAAACTTTTCTGATAAAGAAGGTATTTGCTCATTGATTAATAAATTTGGCTCATCACACTGTGTAATAATATTTACAGAAGTATCAGTTACGTTCTTCGTAGGATGATTCAAAATATGCTCATTCACTTTCTCATTGTATTGTGATATTTCACATGTTGAATATTGAGTAATATCATTTTCATTTTCACAAATATTACTTAAGTAAAAGTTCCTTTTCCTATCTGGTTGTTTCCTTTCAGTAACTTTTACTGAATGTTTCAATCGAGTGAAAAAATTAATTGTTTCATTCATATTGAGTTGATACTGATTTTTATCCATTGATTTGCCATGACTTCTTTCTTCAATGGTATCTTCATTTTCAATATGTTCCTCATTAGATTTTTCCTTTGTAATTGTTGTAAGTGGTTCTTCTTTCTAAAATTAGAATATATAAAAACAAATAAACTGTGTAATATTTATTATCAAAAATTAAATTATTCTTTTTTGCTACCTTTAATATTTCTGATTTTATAATTTTTTCTGTATTATATATATCTGAAATAATAGGTTTCAACTTTAGTTCAGTATTAGGATTATTTTCATGCACATTCATATTTGTAAATGATTTTTCTTTTATTGCACTCATGCTATTATCATTTTCCAAAGCATATAATTTACTTCCTTGATCATCAAACAAGGAACACGATCTATTTGTCTCTATAGAAAAGTTTATACAATTTAACAATGGATTATCTTCCAGATGTGTTTTGTTGTACTTTTGTTTCAATGCTATATCAATGCTATCATCCATAAATATTGTAGCATATGTTTTCCTGTTATTGATAAAATTTGAATTTTTTTTAGAAATGCTTAAATGTAATATTTCTGGTTCTTGTATATCAAGTTTAATACCTTCACTACTTGACAAATTATCTACTGATGTTGATTTTCGTATTTTTCTATCTCTTATATATAAAATTTTATCTTTCATATCTGATTCAACATTAGTGGAAGCGTTTATACTTGTCTCATCTAATATATGCAAATTGTTTGACTGTAACTGATCAAGCAATGCGGGAATGTCGCTTATAGCATGAGATTTTGTAATATCAATTGGTGAATAGCAAGGAGAATATGCTGATCTTCCTTTACATTTATTGACAGGTGTGCTACTCACTGGATTTTTTTCAGAATTTAAATCCTTACTTATACTGTTTGAATTTTTGCAGATCAAGTCATTCATAGGTGATTTGTATTTGCTATTTATAGAATTACTTGATATCTTATGTAAAACTAAATGACATTCTTTTAATATATATTTGGATTCATTAACCATAAACTTACACTTTTCTATATTATTTTTGTACAGTACTACAGAACAAGGTTTAATTTTAAACTTGTTGTCCATTGAATCAAGAATGTTATATGATACTGATGATGTTAAAGAGAAATTTTCATTATTTTTATTGTTAATCTTTTGTGTTTTTTTAATAGGCGTCAATCGGCATATTTTCTTTTTATCATTAATTTTTGAAATGTTAGTAGTTTTCCTTAAAGGGCTATATAATTCACATTTATTGCAGTGTAATAAATCAGTATTTTTTTTATGAAGGGACACTTTCTTATAAGGGACAGTACTATTATTAATATTCTCATTATTAGTCATTCTATTAATATCAGCATTAACAATATCTGAGTCATATAATTGGTCATTAGAATTTTTAAACACAGAATATAAAATTCCTCCATTATTTGACTTATTTTGTTTCTTATTTTTTGTTTTTTGAATTTTCTTTATTCTTTTACTTTTGTAAGCCTAAAAAGAAATAAAAATACAGTTAAAAATAAATATTCTTATTTACTTCTTAAAAATGATATACTTCTGCAAATTATGTTTTTGCAAAATAATTGTTTCAAAGTACCTTAGTCTGATTTTTTTTCTTAACAATTCTTATTTCTTTTGTATGCTGTGAATTATATAAAGCTCCTGTTATAGATGTTTTCTTATTTTTAGGTTTTACATTTTTTTTGTATGGTAGCATTTTTAAAGATTTTGTATACTTCATATTTGGGCTAACACTAACATTAGAATTACAAAAAGAAATATGAAATAAAGATTCATTTATATTTTCCTCCTCGCTATTTATATCAGAACTACTATCGCTCCATGAGTTATTGTCAATACAATCAGGCGGTATTGCTGGTACTCTATATTAAGAAACAAAACATACTTATTATTTAAAAAAAAAAAAAAATAAAAAAAAAAACAAGTAAACTAAGAACTTACACTGCATCTTTAGCAATTCTATCAAATGTTGTTTCAAAAGGATCGTAATCTAATGAATCTTCACTTATTTTATTTTCATTAACGTTATCAATTCCATATTGTTCTTTGAGAATATCGTCAGTTTTTAATGTTAAATCCACTTTAGCAAAGTCACTAATTTTTATCAACGGATTTGAAATATTTCTTCTTTGATATGTACGTATAGGTTTTCGTAGCATTGTAATTTATATTTAATAAATATTGTATGAATTATTACTTCCCTATAAAATCAAAAAGTATATATACATTACGAATTGTTAATATAACATTTATTAAAAAAACATACGAATACTTTTCTTTCTTTTAAATATACTTAAAATTTAAAACGTACATCCATAGAATATATTATAGCTAGATTTATACATCACTATAAAAAATCTGTTGAAATAAGAAGTCTACCATTGGTTAATGTAAGTGCGCCTCTAACCACGTTTGACCACTAGTTTTAAATCAAGAAATTTTCCCGCCTTTATTAATATCGTATAATTTGTTTCTTCTATAGCACACTTAACAGCTCAATCAACAGTTTAGTGACAAATAACAAATATCGTTTGACTGATAATCTAAAAATGTATAGTAATTTATTGCATTTATATATATATTGATTATAAATATAGATATATTAAAAATTATATCATAAAATTTACAATGGATTCATATATAATGCAGGTAATTTAACATACAAATATTTAGAAAATTTAAACATAAAAAGTTCGTAACGCTTTAAGGTTATATTTATATTATTTTAAATAGTTACGGCGTATGTGGCTCAATCAAGATGGAGATGTATTAGCAGTGAGTAATGTCTAATTTATTTAAAAAAACAATTTAATTATATATCCTATAATTAATAATAATTTTTTTAAAGGATTTACTTTCCCTTAAACACAATCATATTTTGATACCTAATATTGGGTCAGAAGCAGCCATGACAAAGGCAATGGAGCATTTGTCTGCTCCTTTCGATGATCTAGTACTTTACCACTTAAAGTATTAACAGATTTTTTTCAATAATGATTACTATATATTCTTTTTAATAGTAAAATAAAATAACAAATAATGTACATTTATATTAATAGGACTATAGCAGCAATGAATAAAGATGACCAATTTACAATGTACAATTACCAAAGTTCAGCAGTTCAATCTTTAACTAAAATTCTTCAAATGCAGAAAGAAGAGAATTGGATGCTGCGAGTTATGAACGTTATGTGTTTAGAATTAAGATTATTAGCAGTTCGTACAGAAAGTTCAAAAACAAATAGAAATATGAAACCTGGAGAAGTTCTTGAAAAATGTGCGGAATGTTTAATGGGTTGTTTTCGAGTATGTGCTGCTGACAATCGCAGTTCAGAATATGATACAAAAAGATGGGGAATGTTGGCATTAGTTAATCAGTTACTAAAAGTTTACTTTAGAATTAATAAGTTACATTTATGTAGACCTCTAATAAGAGCAATAGAATCATCTCCATATAAGGACCATTTTGCATTAGCTCAACAAATTACATATAAATTTTTTGTTGGTCGTAAAGCTATGTTCGACAGTGATTACAAAACTGGTAAGTATTATTTTATTATAATCAATTTATCATAACTATTATTGTATTAATTCAATACCATTATTTATTTTATTTTAGCTGATGCATATTTAACATATGCATTTGAACATTGCCATAAGCATTCTCACAAAAATAAAAAATTAATTTTAACGTATCTTGTCCCAGTTAAAATGTTGCTTGGATATATGCCAAAGAAAACTCTTTTAGAAAAATATAACCTGATGGAATTCTGGGAATTAGTAGAATCTGTAAAGAAAGGAGATTTACGTAGTTTAGAAAGAGTGATGGCAAAACATGAAACATTTTTTATCGATGCTGGAATATACTTGATTGTTGAAAAATTAAAATTAATTGCCTATAGAAATCTATTTAAGAAAGTGTATCTAGTATTAAATACACATCAGATACCAGTGCAAAGTTTACTTTCAGCCTTGGAAATGCATGGTATTGAAGATGTAGACATGGATGAAACGGAATGTCTTGTTTCAAACTTAATATATGAAGGAAAAATAAAGGGATACATATCTCATCAACATAAAAAATTAGTTATTTCAAAACAAAATCCATTTCCTATATTATCTACGATACTGTAAAAATAATCAATATTATTATTTATTATATATATACTAACATAATAAAGACTTATAAAACACATCTATATATGGATATTTTTAATAACATATTAAGATTCCTTTACAACAAAATATTTATAATGAATAATATTCAGATAATATTTAATTTTAGTTAACATTTAATATTCATATATTGTATTTAATTAGAGTAATTATTGTAATAAGAAGGTTCGTTATTTTTAAATAAACATTTATATCCATAATTATTTTGGAAAATCGAGCATTTTCAAATACTTTTATTTATTGTGCCAATGTTGGCTAATATTGATATACATAGAAATTGGAACATTAATGTCTCAAGGTATGTTTTTATGTGTAGATCGCTTCTGAAGTAGAAGAGGGGATCGCGAATATCAGTGAAGTTTGCTACGAGTTAGAAACTCTGCGTTCCTTTAAAACGGGTAGACGTTGTGTAGTTTCATTTTTCTTGCACGCGTGCGTTATTTTGTTTGTAGGAAAGGAAGTGTGATTACGACGTTTGTCGACATATCCGGCGATAAAAATTCGTTTACAAAATGCCAATTAAAGTAGTGAAAACGACATGCTATCGATTGAAAGCCTGATTGGTTAAGCCAGTGTTCGATGCAAGTATGGCCGCCCTGCCATCACCCACGCAGGTACATCTTCATTTTTATATGTCTACCATGGTATAATATTACGTTTACTATGTTTATAATATAAAAAATGGCTTTAAAAAAAATCTTTTTTATTAGCAAAATATATCATTTAATAATTCAAGATATCTTACAATATTAGACGTTTTCGATTGATTTCCTTGGCCTGTTTGACAGCACCGATGATACTTTAACGTATCAAGAATGAATTTATCAGATTCTTTACATTAGCTCTTCTTTTTAGTCATTTTAATAAAAGGAAAAAAGAATCGTTAATAAAAAATTTAATTAGTCAAATCCTTACAAGAGATACAATTTCGATCGATTGTAAAACTTTCTTTTACAAATTCTTAATGCTTTCGGCAAATAATATTTATTATGTTCATAACTATTCACAAATACTTGTTTTTATTAGCAAATGAAGTGTTTTTTCTGATAAAATCTATTATAGTTTGTCATTATAAAATATTTCATTTTTATAGGTGGCTGGAAGCCATACTGCCATATATGAAGCATATTATAATCAGGTATATTTAGATAAGTTAAAATGATCAACATTTTTAAATATATAAATATCAATCTACTAAATAATTAATCTAATAATATTAAAAATATATAATATATATATAAAGGTTGATCCTAATGGATATGGAAGAATTGGTGCAATGGAAGCAGCAAGATTTTTGAAAAAATCTCAATTGAGTGATGGTATTCTCAGTAAGATATGGGATATGGCAGATCCACAATCTCGAGGATCATTAGATAAGTCTGGTCTTTTTGTGGCCCTTAAACTTTGTGCATTAGCACAAGCTGGACATGATCTAAGCATGAATAATTTAAATTTAGAGTTACCTCCTCCAAAGATGGTAAGATCTAATTTAAACAATTTAAATAAAATGTTTAATTTTATCATTTTTTTATTTACTCTTCTATATTTTAGGGAGATATTCCTATTGTACAACAAAAAAATGTTTCAAATACATTACCAATAATAACATCCATTAACAACGGAGATTGGTCTATAAAACCTAATGAAAGAGCAAAATATGATCAGTTATTTGACAGTCTCCAACCTTCAAATGGCTATATACCTGGAAATAAAGTTAAAGGTGTACTTATGGACAGTAAACTTCCTTTAGATACACTTGGAAAAATTTGGGATTTAGCGGACATGGATAAAGATGGTATGCTGGATAGACATGAATTTATAGTTGTGAGTATGCTCAATTCTAATAAAAAATATTGTTTTGTCAAGTACAAAGTTTTATTAAATGTGTGTATGTGTATATTCTTAATATTAATATCTTAATATATAAGTAAATAATTGATATGCATATATAAATTAAATTATTTATCAGTGATAATTTCTTCTATACAATGAGAAATGTAATCTAAAAGAACAAAAATATGTTTTTTAATTATAATTTTTTCATGATCCTTATAGTTCTATTGAAGATTAATAATCATATTTCAAGAGGATCATCCTATGTAATTTTAGTTATTGTTACACAGGCTATGCATCTTGTGTATAAAGCATTAGAAAAATATGCTATACCAAGTGTACTACCTCCTGAATTAATGCCACCTGGTAAAAGAAAGGACATTTCTATGCTGGTATCTAAATCACCTGTACCTATGACTGTACCAACAATGACACCACCACCAATTCCACCTTTACCGAACATATCATCAGGAAAAAATTTATCTGGTCCAATTGATACAATAAAGGTATTTACCAATTATTTCTAATATACTAATTCTATAAAACTTACATTCTTCATAGTATGATATAATATATTTTTATCTACAGTCTAGTGCACAGCCTTGGGTAGTTTCAGCTGAAGATCAAATAGCAGCTGATAAACTGTTTTTACAAGCAGATTTGGATATGGATGGATTTGTCTCAGGTTTAGAAATTAAAGATGTCTTCCTTCAAAGTGGACTTCCACAAGCTGTATTAGCTCATATATGGTATGTAAGATAATCTTATACATTAATCAAATTGATCTTATGATATTAATCAAAATATAATTTCAGGGGCTTATGTGATACATGTCAAAGTGGAAAATTAAATAAAGAACAATTTGCTTTGGCAATGTGGTTGATAAAACAAAAGCTTAGAGATATTGATCCACCAACAACTCTAAAACCTGAAATGGTACCTCCGTCTTTACGAAAAGGTGGAGATCTTATCATGGTAAGTACTTCAAAATTACTTCTTTATTTGAAAAAACATTTCTTTACTACTTTAATGTAATACTGAAATATTTACAGTAACTTGATGATTTAAATTTTTGTAATGTCATTTAATGTTTCGTAAATCGTCTTTTGCCTTTTAACACTCTCCAAATTACTATAGTAAATACAGAAATAATAGCAATAGTACCAAACATCATATATTGATAGTTTAATTTTAATTCTGTTTCATCGGTCACTATTAATTTTACTGTTCCTGCAAGTTGATTATTTTGCCAGCAACTAAAAAATTACATAAACATATAAGTATAAACATTTTCGATATTGACATTAACTATTATGAGAGCAAGTACCTATAAACGTTACTATCTGTAAATTTTAATTTTTTAAAAACTATACGCATCCGTGAATCAATAAATATTGTTGAATTTGAATGATATTTAATAAATGGTAATATTTTAATTCCAATTTTCCAAATTATTGGTGTTTCTATATTTAGATTTCTGAAATATTACAATTATTTTATTTAAGTTTTCTTATTTAGAATATAAACTTAAGTAATAAGATTAAAAGGAATGTTATTTTACCCTGGACATTTGATTTGTATTTTCTTATTAATTATTCCATAAAGTATTGTTCTTGTAATTTCTGGCGCTAAAGAAGGTATTTTTTGGATCATAGAATATATATTAGCACTATTATTTGCACTTTCAATTATTTTGCCAGCTTTATTATATACTTCAAATACTACATCACTTGAACAGTTTTTCTATAATAATAGAATATTATTATTTCATTAAATGTTTTAGAAAATAATATAATCATAAAAGACAATACCTTGCAATATTTAACCATCATTTCAATTTTCCTTTGTTTAATAATTATATGTTTTCGGATATAATATGGGATATATCTAAATTTACATGGCAATTTATTTTGGAATACATAAAGTAGTATTTCCATTATATATTGTATATTTTCACTTAAGTTGTCTTCATCTTAATGTTATATTATCATCCAATAAATGAAATTTTATATATAAAAGATATAATTTATATAATATATATTATTTGATATATATATCACAAATTTACATACCAATGCCAGCATGATATACAGGATTTTCTAATAGAGAAAGAGTACAATAACCATAACGAATTTTTATACCAACATTACCACATTTGGAACATGGGGACCAATTCATCCATGTAGTATATATTTTTAAGTTATATTCTGTTATTATTTCTGATGATGCAGCATGTCGTACTTTTGGTACTGCATTAGGATGAACAATATCTATGTCCTCATAACCATTATCAACATGCAAATAATAAAGTGTTCCTTTTGTATCTTTCATTTGACACCAGTACTGGCCATCTTGTTCTAACTAAATAAATTGTTATTAACTAAAATTACATTATATATATAATTAATTTCTGAAAACATGAATTTAATTTTACTTTAGTCTGTTGTTCTCAAAATATATACCTGAATGTTATACATTTTTAAATATTTATTATTTTGAGAAAATAATATGTGTGGGGCAGATTGAATTAATTCATTAGTAACATTATTATTGCTGCTACTATTAAAATACCATTCAATGGTATTAACTTCATATACTTCTAATGGAGAGATACATATCTCACACTTCAAACTATAAATTATATATAAGTAAGATTTTATTAAGATTCGAATTTAATTAAGATTCAGTATTATTTTTTATTCATACATTACTGATGTTCCTTCCAGTACTATAAGGGCAACAGGATGTAATATTTTCTGTGATTTAATTTGGGTATATTGCTTATTTAAACATGCATAATATTTTAACCATTGCTCTTTGTGTACTTGTCTAAGATTATTATTACTTCTTGGATATTCAAAATTTGTATCTATAATTCTGGTTGTACCTAAATAAGCATGTTTTTATAAAATCCAAAGTAAAAACTTACATATATCGATACTCTTACTGTATTTACTATTATATATGTCTCCTAACTTTGGAATTCGAAGATCATAACTTAAATTTATTGTAATTAATAATACATAAACCGCAAATACATTATACATTTTCATTATATTATAGTTATATATATCAGCATATGTTATTATTTTTTTAGCAATTGTTTCTATAACATATTGTAGTAATTTTTCATGGTTATGTTGACATATATATTTCAAATATTATTTTAAATAATATTAATTACAGGCCTTATAAAAAACATAATATGAATTATTATTAGTTTAAGAAATACACAGTAATATATAATTAATCATCCTTTATTACTCTTCTATTGCAGGAAAATAATAATATTTCGGGATATTCTAATCCAGAATTAGATATGATAAATAAGGATATAGCAGAGCTTACACGAGAAAGACATAGCATGGAGCAAGATATAGCTCAAAAAGAAGCTGATATCAAGATTAAAAATGGAGAAATTAAAAGTCTTCAAAGTGAGTTGGACACACTAGCTGCTACCTTAAAACAATTAGAAAACCAGAAGGGTGAGGCACAGAAGAGATTAAATGACTTAAAGGCACAGGTAAGTGGACAAGCAAGACAATTTCTGGCTTGGCTGCTAAATGTTTAGCTTGGCTTGTTAGAAATTATGACCTTTATAGAAAACTAAATTATACTGATTTAAAATTTCATGGTACTTTATGATTATATTATAACTGTACTATATTTTAGTTATATTATTTTTCTAATTATTAAAAATTACACACAATGGGTTATTAGGAATAAACGATACGAAAGATAATCGACTCGTATTGTCACTCATTTGATATTAATTTGTATAGTGATCATAATTTATATTTTATTACTTTTTTCTATTTTTTTTTTTTTTTTTTTTTTTTTCTTTTTTTTTTTCTTTTTTTTTTTCATCTCATCATGATTTGTTTTTGTCATATTTTTGTTTGGCTTGTAGACAGCTGATGTAGATAGAGATTTGAGTGAAGTGGAGAGCAAGATTTGCAAGGAACAGAAGAAGGTACATCAAAAATTTTCGTTTCTGATCAGGGACAGGTACTAATTCGATCAGTTCTGACATGACAGTGTTTGAAAAATAGACTTTGTTCTTGTTTTTAATAAATTATAAGCATTAGCAGTTCTAATTATGTTACAGTACGAGTTTTTCATCTTATTATTTCTTAGATTTCTCTTCTTCTAATCATTAATAAAAAAGTAAAAATATTTTTCTTATATTAATATTCTAATTAATTTATAACATTCATAACATATGCACAATAACCAAAAATATTTCAGATTTGTAATATTGATTTTAGGTCACAATTTTATCTCAATCATCTATTGCTTCTTTCTCTCTTTTTAAGACTGTATAACTAAAATGTGAACGAAATGCATTAATGTTGGTGTTTTTTGCTGCCTATTGTCTCTTCACTCACAGTTAATAAATTAATAAAAAATATAAGTGTATTATATTACTTTATATATTTTTAAGTATTGTAGCTGAAATATTATAGAATAGGTACATATAAATAAAACTAACTTTTAAAAAGAGTCTACTAGGATTTAAATGTTAATAGATACAAAATTATTTTCAATTAAATTAAATACCAAGTAGAGTAGTGAAGAATCAAGATTGCAATAATAATTTTATATTCCACGTATATATACATATAGTACAATAGTACTATCGAGACAAAAATACAAATCGAGATAAAAATAATAATAAAAAAGAAAAAAAAAATTCAATTTCGTTTATTACGAACTTTAGGTTGACAAATTACGACAGCAAGCTGAAGAACAAGAGTCAGTTTTACGTGCTCAGGAAGAAGAACTCAATTCCAAACGCCAGGAACTTGAGGGATTGAGACAAGAAGAACAACAGTTAGAACAACAACAGCATAAAAGCAGGGACCAATTAAATGAGCTTACGAAAAATTTGCAAGATACACAATTACAAATTAGTCAAGCGAAAGCTAAAATTACACATTTACAAGAACAGCAACGGCAAATGAGTGATGCTATTGCACTTTATGATTCTGCACTTGCTACAGCAGATGCCTCTCTTGTACCTGATACTAGTCTACAATTTAATCCTGAGATTGAAGATATAGAGTATGTATAATATATATTATATATTATTTCATAATATTTTTTATTAAGTCTCATAAAAAAAAAGAAGAAATCAAAATTATATAAAATTAATACATCTATAATTTCTAAATAATCTAGGTATGATGAAAAAGAAACCACAAGTGTGAATGAAGACAATAAAGCAATAGTTGATACTTTCACAAATGCAAATGGACCTGGTGTCTTTGATGGTTTTGATAGTCAAGATACTTTTTCATCAAAGAAGGCTCAAGAAGCTTTTTCTACATCTACACCTGATCCATTTGGAAATACATTCCCATCACAATCGGCAACGGTAATCTTTCTTATTAATTTGCCTTAATTGATTTTATATATATCTACATAATGTATTAATTTTGTGGATAAATATTTCTTTATTATTTTTTATAATTAGAATTTCTTTTCAGAGTGATTTTACCAATGATCCATTTACTGCATTCGAAAACACTAACACAGTAAAACAAGATCCATTTGATCCATTTGGAGATAGTAAAAGAAATGATCAAAAAATTGGTATAGCTGCATCAACGGTAAATCAAAATATTAATGTATTATTGTATAAAAAAATTCTTATCATCATTTAATATTTTTCATGTAGGTAACAAAAGATCCATTTGGAGATGATCCATTTGCAAATCTTCATGCTCCACCACGACCAGAAAGCCCTAGCCCTGCTCTTCCACCTAAGAAAGCTAAACAACCACCGCCACGGCCTGCACCACCGCGACCATCACAAGGTCCAACAGGATCTTTGAGAGCAGCTCCAGTTCCAGCTCCTCCTACTCCATCTCCCACTCCTGATCCATTTGCGAATGCAAATTCAGATCCTTTTGCTGTGCAACAACCAATTGGAGACAACAATAATATCAGTAATTTCACAGGATCATCTACAGGATTCGCAGATTTTGCAAATTTTGATTCAAAGGTATGCATTATAATAATTTTCAATCACAACATACAAATTTTATTTATTACATATCATAATTGTATTACTTTTTAATATCATATTTATCATATTTATCAAACTTTCCAACATTTTTTTAAGTATTTTCCTATGTCTTTCTGTTCATATTTAAAAGCATGATCTATCCCTTATCTAAATTAATAGTTCTTAGTATGTTATATAATGATTTTATTTTTATGGAAAGCTTGTTTTGTAGAATAAGATCGTTACGAACATTGGAATAATTTTTACGATCATTGTTTATTACATATTCATTTAAAAAAAATCAACATTTAATGCCATTTATTGAGTTATAAAATATGGTTGAACTTATTATTCCAGTATTTTAAACGATATTTTTTTTATAAGAAATGTATCATTATTAAGAAGAATTAATTATTTAATTTGTTTTACATTTAGGTAGAGGCTGCACAATTTTCAGTTTATCCACCGACTTGCCTTGTGAGGCATATTATCAACAAATTTATTTGTTTACAATATGTTTTCTTACACGTAAAATTTGTTTTCTTATGATTTGCTTATAATAAATTTTGCTTTCATATCTTTCATTTAAAATGTTTGAGTTATATCAAGGAATAATATTAATTTAATGCAATATTTGATATAGAATTTAAAGAAATTGTAACTCAAACATTTTAAGGTCATTATTTTAAAAAATTTTTTAATCCCTATAATAGCAGAACCTTGGACCAGCAGATTAATGATAACTAGCGGTATTTGCGTTATTTCTTCTAACTTTCCAGTAAAACAAAACTGACCAGTGACAAAACCTGCTTTAGCCGGAATCTTCGCTCAATCGAACAGCGCCACCCAGACCAGTGAGTCGACCACATGCCGCAGTAACACTAATATCGAAGCTGCCGGACTTCACAGAAGATCCCTTCCGAAATTATCGATATGAAGATCCATTTAATATAACAGACCCTTTCTCCGATGAAGTAGAAGATTATAACGCAAACAAAAATACTACAATGAGCATGGTGGATCCATTTGGATTTGAATCTACATCAGTATCAAATACTAAGAACTCCTTAGTAAAAGGGTTTGATGCTGATTTTGGTAAAGCCTTTTCTGATCGAAATAGGAATATAAAATCATCTGAAGCGGATGCTTTCTCTAATGACAAAACCAAAACAATCGATATCGATGAAGCATTTTCTAACAAATGTGACAAAAGTGGAAGATGGCAGGCACAGGAAATAGCGCATAATTTAAGTGTTAAACTAAATCTTAATGATAAAAAAACGAAAAATGATGTTGATAACATTTGGAATGGTACGGCACCTCTTGCATTAACAGAAGATGAACAGCTTGCTTGGGCAGCTAAGCAAAGTCTAAAAACTGAAGAAGAAAGACGTAGGCTCAAGGAACAAGAAGAAGCTGAATTAGCTCTTGTTCTTGAACTAAGTAAACGAGACAAATCTGGAAAATAAAATTTTTTTCTTCATTGCGATAATTTATACTATGATTTACCAAGTAGTATATTTTTTAATCCAATGACTTACTGACTTTTTAAAGAAGTAATAGATAAAAAATATATATGATTTCAAAATTACCATCAGTGTTTTTAGATAAATTAGTGAAGAATTTTATTTTTAAGATTACGTATAAACATATGTATAATTAATATTTAATTTACCATTATTATTATAACTATTATTATTATTGTCATTATTTTATTATTTTTATTATTATTATTATTATTATTATTATTATTATTATTATTATTATTATTATTATTATTATTATTATTATTATTATTATTATTATTATTATTATTATTATTATTATTATTATTATTATTATTATTATTATTATTATTATTATTATTATTATTATTATTGTTGTTGTTGTTATTATGGGATCACACATTTTCGTAAATATGATTTATACTGTAACCAACTTTAAAAAGAAGAAAATTCTCGTGATTTCTGTTGAAACCAAAGGCTTGTATAATAATGCTTTTTCACTGAATTTTTAAATCATGATGAATGTTTGAGAACGTTTCTCCTCTTTCTTCCTATTCATTGTATTTTATCAGCTTATCTAATACATTAAAATCTTATGAAATTAATTGCAATTTTGCAATGATAAATTCTAAAATAATATTGATAATATTGTCCTAATAAATCATAAGCTACATGTATACACATGACTCAACAAGGCAGTTAAATTTAAATATATAAAAAGGATAGAATGGCATATTATTGGATCGACAATAAGATGATGTATGAATATTGAGAGAATTCATATACGTATCAGTATAGAAACCAATGCAGATTTAAGCCTGTTGAAAATTCTCTTTATGTATACTGTTAATATAAATTTATGAATAACGTCAAGATAATACTTGAAATCTTTCTGATAGCAGTCATTTGTAATATGTACTGTATACATTGTTTACCTTTAAACAATAACTTGAAAAGTTCTTATATTGTTGTAATCTTTCCTGTTATTAAGAAATGAAAATTACATATAAGGAAAAAGTTAACAAGCAATTCTTTAGTAAAAAAAAAAACAGCACTGAAATGTTGATACAGTTTTTGCTATTTTAAAAATTATACTAGCATTAGGTTAAACTGATGTTGTAAATCTATGATCGTTTAAAACTTCTATCCAATTAAGGAGTTTTGTAATTAGCTTTAAACACACTGTTAATGAGTCAATATCTTGTAGATTGCTCAAGATACATTTGATAAATAAATGCAATTATATTAGTTGCATGTAAACTCTTAGGACAACGATGATATGAGAATGCCATTTAACTAAATTTTTGGTCTCTTAATATATCCCAAAGAATAAGGTGTTCAGATTGTATTTTTGTGTTTGATTTAAGATATTAACCATTTAAAATACAGGAACGTGTTTATCCTGATCACATCATTAGTTGTTAATTTCGCAGTAACGATGAATTATATCTAATGTATATATATATAATTGTTGTCTATATCATTTCATGATATTAATATAGTATCGAAGTTATGATTGTATGGATAAACTACTGTTGCTATAATACTTATGATAAAGGATGTTTCCTGCAAACGTTAATCAAGATAAAGTAAAATAATAATACTGTAAATTTCATAATACTCGTGATTTTGCAACAAGTAGAGATAAATAATCATAATTTTAATTTGCGTATTAATGCAAGTTTATTGCATCTATTGAGGTACACCTATATGCTCATGTGTTATCATTGAGTACTGAAGCCACAATTGCTATATTTTAAGTTAAAAACACTTTATAATGCTCACTATAAAAACATAGAAAACAATTTCAGTTTTAATTAATAGTTTTAATGAAAATCGATATATTGTAAACAAGTTTAAGGAAGAACTGAAATTGACTGACAAATAATGAATATAAATTATTTATGTTGTGAAATGAACAAAAGATAGATGTGTTATAGAATTAATGTAGCAATCGTATATTTCTGAATGAAGCTTCTAATAATCATTGACATATACGTATCGATGCGATGAAATATGTCTCTTTTTTACGCACACATGGATTCATGTGCCGCACGCGGAGAAAAAAAGACGAATGAGTGAATGAGACGAATAAATGCGTGAGAAAGAAAGAAAGAATCCGGAGAAAAATAAAATCGTGCTAGAGAATTCGATATTGTTATAGATATATAAAAGTGCATAGTGTGTGAGAACCCAGTATTTATCTTAATGTATACTGCTTTGTGCCATGCAAAAGTATAAAATTCTACTGAAAATTTCACGCTCGGCAATATCGCTATTATTAGGAAACTTAATCATGAATTATTTTGTTATTGCTTTCATAGCGATATTATAATTTGAAACATTGATATATTTCATAAATGCAACGTTATCAATATTTTATACCATAATACAAAAGTTAATCCTTGGATAATTATTTATATGTGAATATATGAAAAGTATATGATATACGATAATGTAGACAGATTTAATGAACAATAATTAATTGCCGCATAATCATACATACAAAAAAAAAAAAGAGAAAGAAAAATAGAAACGCTTGTAATATTAACAGTAAATTATTAACGATCCGAATAAAATGCACTAAAATGATGTGCGTTGCTTGCCTAATATACAAGCATTTTGTTGAATATATCAAATAACAAAATTTGCATTATATTCCCAAAGCGTTTTCATTTTTAGTTAAAGAGAAATGTCCATCACGTATAAATGTCATAAATCTTCCAGAAGTCTACAAAAAAGAACCAAATAAACTTGGAAATCATGTAATAACAAATCCTAAAGAAAATCTATATATTTTTAATTTAATTATGCCATCCTATCTATCTCAATTCAGGATTGAACTACCTATTGCATGCATTTGCAATAAAGAAACAATTATTTATTGCACATACATAGATGATTACGCATTTTGTTCTAAATTTGTTTAAACAAATTATTTGATATATAGAATAAACGAATAATAATGTCAATGTGAAATGTTATAAATATAAATGTACGTTAAAATTGGAAATTTTTATATTACTTTCAAATACTATGAACACAAATTCAAATTTGATTTCTGGTCGATGAAGAAAACAACGTTAGAAATGTTAATTTTTCAAAACTTGTCCAAATATTGGAAAGAAAGTAGAATTGAAAATTAATAAGTTAATTGATAAATAAGAAAATATTTCTTATTATATTAACACGTAAAATTTTCTAATTATTTGGGATATCATATTCAGATTAAATATACATGTATTTAGAAAGATTCAAGGTTACATGATTCAATGATAGATGGCACAATAGATACATACGATATCTATAACAATGCGTGTCCAGTCTTCCGAAGTTGGGTTGCTTGCATTATTGAAATAAGTGCCGATGGATTAGTATGTTTGAATTTTTTCTTTGTTGTTAATAATAAGTGATTAAATGGATATTTTATTGCAACTTTATCGATGCAGATGTAATTCATTTTTAAGATTAAAAATAGCATCTTACCGACATGTAAGTACTTGCGAAAGTACAGTGCTCAAGAAATTAGATCAAGCAAAGATTAGCGAGTCTATCATAAATAAAGAAACGATAAATAAACTTGAAAAATTATCCTTAATTGGATATGATAATGATCGTGGTATTGCGATCTTAAAAGCAGCTGTGAATTTTTCCGAACGTTTACGAAATTTTGAAATACCTGAAGAAGTTCAACCACTGTACAATCCTTTAGAAGAGAATAATTTATATTTACGAGAGGACAAGGTGCTGGACATTAATAATCGTCGGGAAATTTTAAAAAATGCAGCAGTTTTAGAAGAAGAATATTTTATAGTACCTTTGCAAAATCTTAAGAATAAATCATGAGTATAGAACATGTTCTAAAAACTATAGGTACAACATTCATAAACTTCTCTAAGAATGGATTCACTTATGGATTGCAAGGTAATATGCTTCTTAGAAATCTGGAGGCACATTGGTTTTTACATTGTGTCACTATGTCACCATACAATGTTTTTGTAACTACAACAGACAGGATTAAACATACTGTACAAGTATTAAATAATATGAATATAAATGAAATACCTTATGGACTTGCTATGATAGAAGATTCCAAAACTTCTTGGAATCAATTAATTTGGCCATTAGAATATAAAGTGACCTCTCATAAAATTGCAAAGGCTATTACATTCGCACATAACTCTCAATCAAAAGATTTATTTTATAAAAAACAAAGAGAGAGGAAAATGTGGTGGCGCAAGCTTAGTCAAAACCCTTCAAGATTTCTACTTACAGAATCGAGAAAACTAAAAAATCGTGAAATAATTGACATTGAAGTATTATTTCCTTTTGGTAATATTATTGTAGAGTCCATTATTTATCAACACGATGTACACAAACTATTTGTAGAGGTATTATCTTTTTCATATAACAAATATGTAAAATCTATATAACCTAGAAAAATAGTTACCTAATTAATCTATTTGCAGGCTACAAATTCTAAATATGATATTACCGATGTGCATATAATTGAACATGTTGCTTCCTTAGATTGGGGTTGTTTGGCATTACTTTCTGACAGTTATGAAGATGGTAAATCTAATCAAATATTGTTACATCCAAAGATTTCACCATATAAAGTTGCTTTTTGCATTGAAAAAGAAAGTAATGAAACAGATTCAGATACAGAGAAGTTAAGTCGTTTTATAATATATTTAAATAATATACTTAGAACAAAAGGTTTTGAAACTATATTAGTGAATACAAAAGAAGTAATTGAAATGTGCCTAGTTCCTTTTGTTGTCATTGTAGGTCAGACTAGTCTCAAAAATGGCATAATACACATTACAAGTAGATCCACGACTCTTGCAGAAGCAATTCATTTTACAGATTTGGTAAAATATATTGCTTTGCGATGTAGTCATTCAGCTTAACAATAAATCAATATCTGTAAATCAAGTCTTCTTTTTATTTTTTTTTATTTTTCTAAGATTATACTACTAGTCTATATGTATTTTTTCATAGTTTCTCATTCAATAAGACACTTGTACAATAATTTTCATAAATGATGTTGGATAATAAAAAAAATTATAGAATTATTTTGAACTTTATTCTATTTTAGTTTCTGCTTATTTAAATAATACGTTTTACCAATTTAGTAATTTAACAATGCAAAGTATAACCATTTTGCACTTCACTTTTCAAGAAATACTTCTCTGGTGGAAATTACAAAATACCTGTATATCACCTATAGTTTATTTAAATTAATAAACTAAACTATTCTATATTATGATAGTCATATTTAATTAATAAAAGTTATAACAATTTAAATGTTACAGACAATAGTTACACTTCTATTTTCCTGACTGGTCTATCCAATATCCAACTTCACTTCTTTTATATCTTATATGGACCTATACATTGTCACATAAGTATCTCTTCTTTATAATACAAAGGTGCCAAATGCAGTTTTGATGCGCGAGAATACATTTTTATGCAGGATTTCATGTCTTATAAAATTTAGTAACAATGTAGAAAACATGAATACTACAAAAAATGATTATAAATCATGCGTGATAATGAATAATGAATAACTCGGAATTTCAGGAAATTTGGAGGCATACTCGTGTGCGTGTGCATACTTCTGTCAAATATAATCAACTCTTAATAAAATTCAAATGATGATTATGTTGTGACTGACAGGCAGTTTGATGTACTTTCAAAGAAGTATGTTAGGATCCGGTTAAGCAGGTAGCTGTAGCTTTTTGCCTTTCAGTACTTTGGTAATATAGAGGTAGAAAAAATCACAATAAAGAACTGTTTGAACCAAGCCAGCGACAATTGCGATCAAATCATAATGATCTTCTGCATAATAACGGTAAACCCAATTTAATAAATATAAGCCTCTATAGGTACCTAAAGCAAAGAGATAATGACTGGTAATGCTCTCTGCTTCGCCTGTTTTGGAGACAAGAAATAATTGTGGTAATATTGCGAAAGACTCCAAATAAATGCTAAAGGTCCATAAAACTTCTACAACCGATGGTTCATGATTGATCAATAAAGCTAGTACAAAGGTAGGTAGAACTAAAAATTCAATTCTGAAACATACAAGACACACATTATTTGTTAATAAAACATGAAACACACAAAGTGTAGTTTATAATCATAAACTGTTAAAGATTATATATATATATATGTATGTGTATATATATATGTATATATATATATATATATATATACCTGAAAGTATCATGATTATGATCATATGTAGCCTTAAATTTCATATACATTAGATAAATCGTTGTATATGATGCTGAGAGAAATATAATCTTCATAAAAGTGTTGTAGGCTGAAATGTATGTGTTTACCAGATCTAGATATCGTGTCGTGTAAACTAGTGCAAATAATATTTGCGATTTTCCGCTGATACCTATATATCATTTGTATTAAATAAATTATAGATAAATATTGAATATTGAAGAATAATTAATAAAAACGTGTTAAAAGTAACAAAATATTAGATAGAGAAATCATTAATATATCATGGTTAGTATTGAAAGACGACAATACAAACCGGCACAACTTCGTGTTTTCCATATTTTTAATAGCAATATAATTATGGCTAAAAGGTGCGATAAGTCACCTAAGAGGCGAAAAATGTTCATATCTTCGTTTACTAATCACTAATTCCTTCACACAAAGGATAAAACCACACAGTGCACCAATCTCTTAACGCATCTAAATATGACGTGGCTTTAGACGCTGCATTGGCAGATGGCCGAACGATTAGTACTATTTCAGCCGGAAGTGTATACGTATTTATGTGAATGAAACGTCCTCCTTTGTTCTTCTTAAATACCATTTACAAATGCATTTAAATATAAGAAACACCTTTATCTTTGAGAATATTTATAAATATTTTCATTTTCTATATGATAATCTTAATAATTTATTTAAAAAAAAATTATATAAAGAAGAAAAAAATTCCTTGTAGTTTGATTCGCCCGCGCATTGTTTCCACAAAATGTTTACCAATAATATTTTTACACCGCGTTGGGCGTATTAATTTTCATGCCAATTTTTCGTGATCGTTATTTAAATAATATATTTTTTGTTAATAAAATCTTCTTAATCACGCCGAATTTTTTTCAAAATATTATCTGTTAATACATCTAAAAATAGTATATATAAGATATATTTTAATTGTTAATTATTGATACAATTTTCCATTCAGAGATTTTAATTTTCAAAAGTTTGCGAAAATTAATCTATATGATTACTAATCTTGCCAATAGATGGTTACTGTATGGTTACTCTGCGAAGTAAACAATTTGAATAGGTTGCAAGTAAAATCTGAAATTATTTTTATTGTTTATTAGTTTATTAGAAGTTGTGATGAAAAATGGAAAATGCCGAATTAGAACGAATAAAAATAAAACTCCTTAAAGAAACATCTGCTTTGGAAAAAGAACTCAAAGAGCAAGAAAGCATTGGACATCAACAATTATCTTCTTTGGCCGAGTACTATATATATATACATATATTCTTTTTTTTATTTATAGATAAATATATAATAATTTTTGATAATGTTAATATTATACAATTGTTATTTTTACAGAAATGCAAAAGAAGACTATATGAATAAATCTTCATTGGAAGAAAATAATAAATTATGTGATTTTTCACATCACCTAACTGGAATAATGTTTAAAGATGCGAAAAAAGATTGGATTGATGATAAAATTTATAAGTATACAGCTAATGTAGTAACCAAAGCTATTAGCTTTTATTTAGAATTAACCATGGATTTGAAAGTATTGATATGGAAAATTCCTAAAATCTTATTTATATAGTAGGGTATAAATTTAGTTAATTTATTACTATATATTATTTATTTAGGATGATCCTGATTTCGAAGTAATTGATATAACTTGTCACTTTATGGATGTTCCACCTTGTTTTATGTTAGAGATGACACCGTGGGTTCAATTTCTTGCCAAGTTAAAAAATTTCTCCTTTTTTATGTCTGGTAATTCAAATATTAAATTACTTATTAAGTTATGTAAAATAAGAATTTAAAATATTGTTATGTATTTCAGCAATCTCTGATTATAGTCAATATAATGTTTTGCGCAACAAAATTGTAAATTCTTTACATACTAATAATTACATAAATTTTTATGACCATGAAGAAGGAAATGGTGGAATTTTATTAGATCTAAGATCACCAAAAAACCCAGACCGGATATATCTAAAATATCAATGGTCATTGAAATTTTTTGAAAAAACCTGTCATATAGAGCATTATTTTACAATAAATGCTACGGAATTTGGTACTGATACAATAGTTCCTTAATTTTGTTATATTGTTATTACCATATATTTTTTTCTTTATTTGCAATTATTTTAGGCATGGAATTTGTTGAAGCAAATACTTCATTACTTAAGCAATTTTGCAAGTTGAATCTCAAGAAAAAAGATCTAATTGAACTGTGGGCACAATTATGTACTGCTATTGACATTTATGAAGATAAAAATATATGAAATATTCAATGTTTAGATATATATATATATATATATGTATATACACACAATTCTCCATTTATACGATAGATTTGTTCCTGAAAAATCCATATGAATGAAAACCGTAAAAAGAATACAATGCATATAGAAAAATAGAAGAATAATTCCAGTGTGAAAACTCTATTTAATTTTATTAATTTTATTAATTTTATACTACATGTATAAAACTTCAAAAATTAGTATGTATCAACTCTATCACAACTTTCATGAACAATTCAATTGTAAATGAATCACATTAAAGTCTAAAAAAAATGCCTAAAAAAAATGATGCTTTATTCTAATGTTTTCTCTTTACAAACAGAACGATGACTGCCTATATGTATCATTCTTTCGCTTTTTAGCTTGACTCTTACACTACACACAAAAAGACGCAACCCAGACAAAAGATTAAAAAATTGAGAGGGTTCTCTAAAATTAAAGTTTAAATACATATGTACCGTTTTAGGAAATTATATTTATAAAGGAAATATGCTTTTAACAGAATTGAATTTAAACTAAAATATTTAAAATAAACATTATTTAAACTGTATTAAATTAAAATATATAGTAAAAAAGTAGAGTTGTTTTTGTTTTTTAAATTATATTATTCTAAAGTCGTGTAAAAAAAAAAATTGTGTAGAAATAGAATTAAATGTATTAATAAATAATAAGAATTGTATCAATACATATTTTATAAATTGTTGTAAACTTTTATAATACAATAATCAATAATTGTGTTTTTATTACCCTCCAACATCCTTTACCCATATTAATTCATTGTATAGTCATATATACTAAAAATTTACATATAATAAAAACGCGTTAAAAAAATTAGTTTTATGTAATAATATACACAAAAATTTTCACTTTATAAAAATGCAAAAATATTGAGGTAACTCTAATAAAAGATTTTACGATTAATTGTAAATTATAGTGTGTTCTTACAATTATATATCATTAATTTATATGAGGATAAAATGACTTATAAAATTTAATATGATAATGTTATATCGAAATTTGTAATAATTTTGATACTTTATTAACGATATTATGTAAATTAATTCAAGATTATTATTATCGTTACAAATGAATTTGACGATGGAAAATATGCATTATCAAATGTACATTTTATTTTAGATTTTTAAAATGATTAGTTCTACAGCATTTGTCATTTTTTATCTAATATCTATTAATAAGGATAGTAATATAAATTATCATGAAAGTTTATAATTATGAATTAACAATAATTTTAATATATAGTGCAATATAAGATATAATAAGAAAACTCAAACCACACGTCCCCAGTGGCGCAATCGGTTAGCGCACGGTACTTATAAGACAGTTACTCTGTGAGCAATGCCGGGGTTGTGAGTTCGAGCCTCACCTGGGGAAGGTTTTTTTTTCTTCTTATTTTATCCTTAGAAAAACTTACACAGATAATAAGAATCATTAAATTATATTAATTTATTAGTTGTATAAAATATTTTATTTTATTATTAATTATTCTTAAGTTTTAAACATAAATGAATTTTGAATTTTATTGAATTACATATATACCCGTATATTCAATGAGAGAGAAAAAACATTCATTAACATTAGAGATTTTAATTATTTTCTTTAAATTATTAATTATTTTCATTTTCATTAATAAGTTTATTACATTATATATAATATACTTATATTCTAAATATGATTTTGTTGTAAGTGTGTGATTTCTTTATCTAATTTTTAAAAATATTTACAATTTTTAATTGCTTATTTTTATTCATATTACTTATTATTTACAATACATATAAAAAAAGAAACAATTTAATTGGTAACTGCTTGTTTTTCTTCTTCATTTACTTTAGAGTTTTCTCTAGCTTTTCGATTTCTCCATGCTTTCATATAAGTCCTTGGATGAATGGGGAAGAAACCAGCTAGTCCTAATAACTCAGCTACTGGTTTAGAGACAGATACTTGTTGTCCAAGCCAATATTGTATTCTTTCAAAATTAAATGAAACTAATTTTTCATTGTATTTATTTGGAATTGGGTCATAAGAACCTAGTTGTTCAATAGGAGCCATACGTTGTCCCAGTTTTGTCTGGAAATTATATAATTTATTGTATTTGAAGATGACAGAAGTATACGTAAAATAATTATGTATATAATTCTTATAAAACAGTATTTTTAATAAAAATAATTAAGAACTCATGTGAATATTTATATTATATTTTAAATATAATATTATATTTTTAAAATAACTGAAATATAAATCATTACTTTGATTTTCAACTTAAAGATAAAATAAAAATACTAAATGATTGTTAACTTACATCTATAACAACAATATGATAAAAGGGTCTGTTTGTACAACCATATCGGACAAATCTAATAGATTTTTTAAAGTTAGTTACAATTCCTGTACCCGAGGAAGGATGTAATGGTAAACGAGGCATTTTGCAAATCTAAAATCTTTAAATTAAGGTTATGTTGTTCTGCTCTTAATATTTTCATAAATATCTCTTTTTCTTCTCTTTCTAGATATATAGAAAGATAGATATATACAGGGTGTTAATATACTCGAGTTAAATAACCAGACTTAAAATAATGAGTTTAGGATCTCAAAATAAGAAAAATTTTCCTTTGCAGATATGTATGCTGCAGACGCTTCGGTCAAGAGGTATTGACTATATGAAAGAATAATATCAAAATGTCTCTGTTTTGTTTTGAAGAAGGCTTGTATTGTAAACAAAGCTCCGTCCATTCATACCAAATAATTGTTAGTTCTTCATTGAATGCTTTCGTGGCATGAACTAGAAAATCATGCTTTCATTTGTCTAGTGAATATGCTGATATATCATGATCGATAATCTCATCGATAAGTACAACGCGTCTCCAGGCTAGAGATTATGTATCACTTTAAATAAAATATTGTATAATTAAAATTTTGATTATTGTAAAGGATTAAAGAAAATAAACCTAAATTATTTCAAAATTATTCATTCCTAATAATAAACTTTATGGAAGTTAATATCTCTTGAACGAAACGTTTGCAAGTATACTTCTAAACAAAAATTTTTGTTTTGAGGTCCTAAAATCATATTTTAAGCTTAATCATTTAATAGGGGACACCCTGTATAACTATTATACATTATTAGAAAACCAAAGGAATTATAAATCTCTACGTAGCTTTAATTTTTATTTTAGGATATATTGAAGTGAGAATATTTCTGCTTCTAACGATTATACTAATAAATATTAATTAATATATTAAATAAAATGTGTAATTATAATTTCAATTAAATTTATACAATACAATTATCAATCATATTATAAAGTTGTTAATGGTTGGCAGCATTGGCTACCGTGGAAATTGCTTTAAGTATATATATATATATATACATATGTATATGTGTGTAATTTTTATTATTTATTTTATAATCAGTTATTTTTTTATATAGTTAAACAATGTCCTTTCAGTAATATTTTTCATAAATGAATGTAATTATTATTCGATCTATATAAAAATGTCAGCTGAAAGTAAAGCAGTATTACAAGAAGTACGAAACTTATATAAACAAAATGAATATTCAGAAGCAATAAAGAAATGCAAGAAAATATTAAAAAAGGATAAGAACAATTATCTAGCACTCATTTTATTAGGTGCTTCTATGCTTGAAGTAGAAGAATGCAAATCTTACACTCCAGCAGCCTTCCAGAAAGCAATTGATATACAACCAAATAATCCGTTGGCTTGGCAAGGATTAGTAACGTATTATGAAAAGGAATCAAAGAATAATTGTAATGTGTTAAATCAGCTGATTGAAAGTTATTGTAAACTTTTAGAATTAGACAGGTATAAGTAGTTCATTAACATAACTTATATAATGATTGTATTTGTTGATTTTAGTTTTATATAAATATTATAAATTTACTTTCAGTGACATGTCCAATGCTTTATCCATTCTAGAAAAAATAGCTAATCTTCTTTTATTTAAGAAAGATAGTTTAAACTTAAATCAAGGCATTGAAACATTAAATTGTTTACGTAAAAAAGTCAATGAAGAAAAGCAAAGTTTAATTAACAAAACTTTGGCATATGTTTTAACAGAACAATATGATAATATACTCCAATTTAAAGACATATTAGAAAATGTTCTAGCAAATGTGATAAAAGATACTAATGTGGTTAACAAACAAGATTATTATAGAAAATATTTAAAACTTTTATATACATCTAATAAAATAATTACATTATTACATGAAGCTACACAAATGCACGAGGAATTTGTACAAGATATTTGCCCTCTTGGTATATTAATATATATATTAAATATTAAATATATATATATATATAATATATATATAATATTAATTATATATATTAAATTCAATTATCTTTTACTTTATTATTTCAGAATGGATATGTAAAGTTTACTATGAGGAAAACATATATAATAAGAGAAATGTAGATATTAATATTGTTCCGTTCTATGAATCACTTAGAAAACTTGATAATGAATCTGAAGCTGGTATTCTAGCTGAAGCAATACATTTAGACTCATGTGGTAATTTAATCAAATCACGTGAAATTTTAAATCAATTAGTTTTAATAAAACCACAATCATTTCATGGGTATGTTATGCTGAGCAAAATAAATAAGAAATTATATTGTTGGGAAGATGTGGAAAGTGCCTCAACAGAAGCATTAAATCTTATAACTCGTAGATCTATTATGTGGTGTAGTATTCAAGTATTATTAATTGAGTCACTTAGTAGAAGCAACGATGTAGAAAAGTGGAAATTGGCTGAAAAATTATGCAAAGAAGTAAGATTTATTTTTAGTGTTAAATTGCATGAGTAAATGCTTTTGTTTACACACGTTATGGTATAAATATTTTCATATTTATTTGATTAGTTTTTATATATAAATCAGGAATATTGAATATATTGAATCTATAACATTCTTTTTTATCTCTTTATCCAATAATATATATCAACATATATTAATCAAAAATAGATGTTGGCAGAGAAATCTTCAGTGCAACTAAATCTTTTTCTTGCACGGATCAATGTGTTATTAAATAATGATGATATTCTTGATGAATTGAGTAACTTGGAATCAAAGTCTGATACAAGAGTTGAAGCTGTCATTTTACGAGCATTATTTTTAAAAAATCATAAACACTTAGAGGAGGCCGCAGATGTTCTTGGATCTGCTCTAGAAACTTCAGAAAGTTGGTCGCTGCTTGGTAAAATATATTGGGAGATGGCAGATTATAATCATAGTTTGATGGCTTTCTTAAATAGTGTACAAGCAGATCGTTATAATTGGGAATCTTTAGTTTATCTTGGACATTATTATCACGAACATTGTAAAGATATAGAACGATCAAGAAAGTGCTACCAAACAGCACTACAGATTAATCCCAATTCAGAACAAGCTGGTATTGGTTTAAGTACAACATTGAGATTACTTAAAAATAGTGTATGTATAATATTTCTGTTGAATATGAAATAAGCTATATTGATTATAATACATAATGGCAATTTATTAATGAAAATATTTCTTTTTTGTAGGAAGCTAATATACAATTGTTGCGAAAATTAACAGCCTATAGCAGTGGTCCTAAATGGGCATGGTTACAATTAGGTTTATATTATTTAGATAGAGGAGAAGCAACTGAAGCTATTAAAGCATTGCAACATGTCATTAGAGCTGATCCCGGTGATAAGTATAGTATAAACAACTAAATAATATATGTTCTTTTACTTTTATTAAACACTTAATTTCAATTTCTACTTTATTTAGTCATGGTTGGGAATCTTTAGCAGACGCGTATTGGTCACGAGGTGCTTATAAGTCAGCTTTAAAATCTTATCAACGAGCATTAGATTTATGCCCCGGGTCTTTATATTCTATGATACAAGTTGCAAATATTAAATTGGTTAGTATGATTTTGTAATTTTAAAGAGTATTAATGTGTTAATGTTTAATACATGTTAATGATTAAAAATGTTTATGTTCTATTATTAAGTTTTGCACGATTTGTCCTTGTCTAGACAATTATAATAACATGCATTTTTCTTACTGTGAACGCATTATTATTATATAAATATATTGTATTACATAATTATTTATAAGAAATTTTCTTACTATAGATCATAGGTGAATTTGAAGAGGCTAAAGAAGATTTTAAACAAATATTGAGCAATGAATCACATTATATACCTGCTCTAAAGGGTCTTGCAGAGACATGTTTAAGTTTAGCAACAAAAAATATTTCTCATCAATTTCTAGGACGTGCTAGAGATAATCTTCAACAAGCAATAGAATGTTTAACAGATGCGGTTTTGAATAACTCTAAATTATCTTGCATTTGGAAGTTACTTGGAGATGTATGTTATAGAAGTGCAATAATGTCAGAAAAATATAGTTATCTTCAAGTTATGCCTTTTTTGATAAACCGTAAAAGTACCGAAAAATATATTATTATTAGAAGAGTAGATTTATTTCTATTATCAACAAGGTATGAAATATTTTTATATTTTGGTTAAATATTCAAATTTTAATTTAATACTAATCTAATATATTTATGGAATTTTTAATTTCAGATCTTATTGTCGTGCACTATCCCTTTCTAAAGATTCTGCATTATTATGGCATGATCTAGCTTGCTGTTACTACGCTCAATTGCTCTTAAATCCTTCCATCGATCGTAAAGATATTGCAATTAAAAGTCTTTCAGCTGCTAAATATGCTGTAAAGTTATGCCCAACATCATGGTTACATTGGAATATTTTAGCAATTATTTGTATGACTTCGGAAATAAAAAATTATGCCTTAGCACAGCATTCTTATATTATGTCAATTAGCAGAGAATCTAACAATGCTTTAGTATGGTCCAATTTAGGAATTTTATATTTATATATTGGTAATAATAAATAAATATATACACACACACATACACAAATATATAAAATTATTAAATATTTATATTAGAAATTATTTTATAAAATAATTATTTGTTCATTATAGGAGATATATACAAAGCTAATGAAGCATTTTGTCGTGCCCAACGAGCAGATCCAACAAATATGAATAGTTGGATTGGACAAGCCATAATTGCAGAAAAAATACAGTATCGTGAAGCAGTAGATTTGTTTAGACATTCGGCACAATTAGGATATCATAATGAAGCATGTTTAGGATATTCTCATGGAGTACTAACATTATTGTTAGATGTTGATACTAATAAATCAGACCCTTTGTATACTTATACCATAGAAAATATGCATGCTGTATCAGTAGCAACAGATTTGCTTACTTGGTACATAGGTTGGTAATTATTAAATTTATAGTCATTAGAATTTAATTATAAAATTATTAATCATTAATTTTGTTTAATGCAAAAGACTTTTTAATATTTTAATAATTTACAGAGCATAATCCGAATAATGCATATGCGCTCAACACTTATGGATTATTGTTGGAAAGACAAAAATTATATGTATCAGCAGCAGAACAATTTACTAAAGCATTACATGAATGTAACGAAAAGGAGAAAGATTTTATTTGTATAAATCTTTCACGAATTTTTATACGTCTTAACAAATATGAAGAAGCTATACAGTTATGTAAAAGTGTAAATAATAGTACCTTCAATTCACAATGTCATTTAGCTTTATGTCTTTTTAAAGGTAAGTATAATTTTCTTCTCTTTTTAAGATACATAATCACAATTTATTTATTTGTAAAATTACAGCAAAACGATATGAGGAATCATATACTACTTATGAAGCAGCTCTTCATTGGTTTGCCAAAGAAGAATCAGATAAAGCAAATACATTATGTGCTATGGCAGCTATGGCTCATATTTTTCAAGGAGTAGATGATGTTAAAACTTTACTCTTCCAATGTATATTGATTAAGCCACCTATGATAGCTGGTTTTTTAGCAGCTGCCTCATTGGGTATATTACATGGAGACTTGAATTTAACTGCTCTAGTGCTGAATGAATTAGAATTATATAAAAATGATGTAGAGTACAGGCATCACATCACTGCTTTGTCTGCTTATTCAAGCCTTGTCCAGAATAACGTAGCCAATGCTATTAATGTTCTATCAAAGATAACTTTTAGATACCCAAGTAAATATTAATTTAATATATTTCAATATTTAAAAAGTCAAATAAAAGATAATATATATAATTATGTGTAAAATTTTAGATGATGTGAATTGCTGGATAAATCTTGCTAGAGTTTTATTTGAAATAGATTTAACGACTTTCCATAAATGCGCAGAAAAAGCATTATATTTAGGTGGAAGATCATCTTCCAATAATATTGTATATGTGGTCTGTGCATCTGCATTAAGTGCTTTAACTACTGAAAATGTCACTAATGCATTGAGAAATGTTCAGAAGGCAGTATTTCAATTTCCTAATGAAGTTGAAAGTTGGGCAAGTTTTATCGCTGTACTTGTAACACGATATATAAAGTAAATAATATATAAATAAAAGTTATATTTTGATATGTTATAATTATATATAGATAATTGGAGTATTGATATTTTTTCAGATATATTGACACAGAGACTAATCCAGGTGTTAAATGGGTAATTGGATTGATAACTATAGTACAACAGCAACTTTCTACAAAACAACAGATATCTTATTGGTTAGAAAAAAGTAAAAAGAAATTATTAAATATATCCAAGTAATAATTCTTTATTTATACATTATATTAAATATGTATAAAAAGACAATAAAATATACTTGTATACATAAGTTTCTATATTTAAAACAAATATTTATGATATTAATTATTAATATTTAATATTTAATATAAATATTTGAAATATTAATTATTAATTAGTATATTATAATGGATAATATATTATAATGGATAATAATTAAATATGTCAATAATTTTACATTAACTGAATAAACTATCATATTTGATCATCACTACATTTACATTCATGTAAGATATGTAGTCTATCTTTAAGGGCGCATTCAAAATATTTACTTACTAGTTTCACCGCTAGATGATGTTCAAAGAATTTCGAGCACTTGAAATTATATCTACGGGAATCTGTGTTTGCAGTAATATAAATCTTCGTTTTTTATAGAGATAAAATTTAAATAAAATTAGTGAAATTGCTATAAGTGAAATAACGATTCCAATAATTTTTAAGTGCGCATTATCTTAATAAATATTTAACGTATTCTAATTATACTTATACTTATTTAACATAATATCATTGATACAATTCTTGATAGATATGACAATAAAGAAGAAAACTTATCAACGTCAATCACGGCGTCTACTTCGATCAAAAATTGTTCCAATATTTTCAATAAATTACATTTTGAATTTTAAATTAATCATAGACATGAAAATAAGAAATATATATTGAATACACTAGTGTATAATAAGATATAAAAAAAAGTGCAATCAAGTGCATAAAGTAAACAAAGTGCAAACAGTTGATTATAAACATCAGTTTTCAATTGAGTGTTCTGTAAAGAATAATAATGTTTCTTGAAAATAATAATGCTCTCTTTTTATATATCAAAGGTTACTCTCATTTAATGAAGTTTATAAAATAATTTTTAATCTATTTACTTATCTCATTATTGAGGCTTAATTTGTGTAAGAAATAATTATAAATGAAAGTATATAAAAATGACTTCTTTCAAAATGATATAATTATAAAATAAAATTGTAAATATAAAAAACATAATGGACATCAATAGGTTAGTAATAATCAGTGTGGTAACGGATGAGAAAGAACTAAATATATCGTATACAGTAGGATGGTCAATTGAAGATCTTTGTATAAAGGTATAGTTCATTAAAAAATAATTTATATAACAATTTTAATAATTTAATGTTGATTTTATACTACCTCTATATGTAAACTTTTAGATATGCAAAATATTTGGGATAGGTCCTGTGGCAAGGCATCTTTTTGCTTTACGGAATCATGCTACCAAACTTTGGTATCCTGCAAATTACAAATTAGAAAATAAGGAAAAAAGTAAATTTGATTTTCGTTTAAGATTCAAACCAGCCAGTTTACAAACATTAAAACGCATAGACGAAAGAGCTTATGATTATTATTTTCAACAAGCTCGTTCTGATGTAATGGAAAATAAAGTACCAGATATCGTTTATGAAAGGCATAAACGTGAATTGATTGGATTAGGTGTTAGTGATATGTATAGGTATATATATATATACATATATATATGTACATATATATCTAAGTTTTAAGTGTGTGTGTGTAAATTTATACATATATATATTTATATAATAATGAACATATTAATGCATAAATAAATAAAGTGTGCATTATTAAATATAACTTATTGCAGAGTGATGCTTGAAAAACGTATACCAAGAGAAATTGTAGAATCAGAGTACAAGAAATATATTCCAAAGGAATGTATTAAACGTCATGCTTTTTTTATAAAAAAACCTATACATAATGCACTTGGACGTATTTCTGGACATGATGCTTCTTATGTAAAAGAACAGTACCTGAAACAATTTGAATGCATGGCACCGAATTATCCATATGAGGAATATAAAGCTTTAATGGATAAAGGTATTCCAAATCCTCCATCTAAAGTAATACTTAGGGTAAATGTTGATGAAGTAAAATATTGTGAAACGGAATCTGGTGCTTGGAATCAACTTTGTGCAATAGAAGATCTTTGTTTTATTTCCATAAGGTAAAAATCATATATTTTATTAACAAAAATAATTATTATTTCAATAGTATTATTTTTATATTGTATTATTGATCTACACGAGAACACATTATCTGTATTATATGTAATGTAATATATTATTTTATTACAGACAAGACAATACTGTAGAAGTATCAAGAAAAAATGGAATACCCTCGTATTTAAAATTTCCAACTAGTAATCTTCTTATGTCATTTGTTTCTGCTTTGGATGGCTACTATCGTTTGGCTATTAAATGGACTTTTAATTTGTGTAGAGATGTCACTACACCAAGTTTAGAAAAGCTACATAAGCTGAAATGTCATGGACCAGTTGGGTAAGGTCATTATTATCAGAATTACCTTTACAAATCATATCTTTTCTTGAAATAGATTATAATTTTGAAGAAAAGGAAAAAGTAGTAAAATTATTCTGGCAGAAGGGAATTTGCATATGGAAAACTTGAAGAAAAACGTGCCAATCGTCCCGGATCTTACATACTCCGTGAAAGTGAGACAGAATACAATGTTTATTATTTCGACTCTTGTGGCAAAGATGGAAATCTAATGTCACAAAGAATAGAAGAACTTGCTGTTAACGAATTTGTTATACAAAATAATATAGAAAGATATAAATCTTTAGGACATTTTATTTCTTCATTTCAAGATCCCGAAAGTCAACCATATCTTT